CAAATCAGGATGGGGAGTTTTCCAGTTTTCTTCCTTTTTTTAAACTTTTTTCTTGGTCCCAGGGATTGAATTCAGGACCTTGTGCTTGCGAGGCATGTGTCAGAACCACTGCGCTAAATCCCCAGCCCGAGTTTTGTTCATTTTAAACATTGTTTTGGCTATTCAAGGTCACTTGAAAGTGCTTCCAAAATAATTTATTTAAAATTTGCACACTGTGAGGCTCACTGTTGTGAAATCTATGAGTTTTGATGATGCATAGCATCATATAGCCGCTGTCACAGCATCATACAGAACATGTAGCCATCTTAAAAAACTCATGTTTACTTCCTACACAGTCCTCCACTCTTAACCCATGGAAACTTACTGGTCTGCTTTGTTGCTATAGTTTTGACATTTTAAAACTGCCGTAAATAGAATCATGCAGTACATAGCCATTGTAGACTATTTGCCTTTTTATAATATACGTTCAAGATTCACCCACGACTTTGTACTTTCTGGCTTTGCTCATCACATTCTTATCTGAACATAGTATGGAGGAGAGCTTTGTGTCCTAAACTGTATAACTCATAACTTCATAGGTATTCATTTGATATTTTTTTCTTTCAAGGAGTCTGGTCATGCAGAAGCCGTTTCTGCCCTCCCTGTTCAGCGCTCAGTTGTTTTCCTCACTTCCTGAGCAATTTAGTTCTCTGCCCCCACCTGTGTAGCTGAGCAAACACCATAAGACTTTTCAGTTTTTTCATGATCCACACAAACAGCTTTCCAGACTTTACCTTCCAAATACCTGTATTAGTCTTTTTTGTGGTTCCAGTTAACATTTCTCTCTCCTAACATCACCATTTCACCTCTCTTTATATAGTCGTTAAGGTGTTGCCTCTATATTTGTATTCTGCAATAGTTCTGTGCCTCTCCCCTAGCAGGTATTGAATAAATACTCATCAAATGGATAAATGAGTGATTTGGTATAATGAAAGAACCAGATGGCAAACAAATCAACATAATATACAACAATATATTCTATCCACTTGGATATATAATTCTTTCCTATGCAATCTTTCATTTAAAAATGTATTTGAAGGCCTCTTGTAAAAAAAAAAGGCCTGAAATCTGAGATACATTCAATTTATGTAGAACATATGGTGTTTATACAGAATTACCAAATAATACCATGCTAGTGAACCTTGATAATGTATGTCAGAGGTTTTCAGCATTAGCCCAAAACATCAGCATTACTATAAACATCTGAAATATATTATATAAAATTTATTTTCTCATAAAATGTTTCATGGCTAGGTTTGGGGAGTTGACTTGCCATAGTGGAATCATTGTCATCTATATTCTTAGTAAAAGGAGTTTTAGGGCTGTTTATGAAGTAATTTGCTTAATATATTTAATATTAATATAAAACTAAGTACTGAGCTTCCAAGTAAAAGTATTTGAGAGGACCCATTTGAGAGGACATCATTTTACATATTTAAGTTTGAAGATACGGTTCAGTCTGTGGGCTCCTCTTGCAAAACCTGTGTTGCCTGAATACTTGGTACCTTCAGGCTGTGGACATCCGTCTCTCACCAAGTCCCTAATTTCAATGTGAATAAACTTGATATGTGGACAGCAGGAACAGGGTAAGCTATTAAAGTTTGTTTCCTGCTCCTTCTCCTGGTCTTTCACATCCTACTTTTCCTCCTCATCTTTCTTAAAGTATTTGCCATTGTTTTGGGCTATAGAGAAGCTTGTGCTCCACAAAAGCGTAATTTCTCCTCAGCTAAATCTCATGGTTGCAATCATCCTTCACATGCCCAGTGGTCTGTGGCAGAAGTGAGATCTTAAGGAACTTGTTGACCTTAGGGTCAAGAACTCTTCATTTTAGGTATTTATCCCTTGTTGGGAGTATTTTCTAAAAGCAGAAAACTGTCTACAAGTAGAATATTACAAAAATATATCCAGTATTTTGTATTTTAAAAGAGGATGCTCCACTTTTTCTCATTTTTTTTTTGCAAGGTAGTTACCCATATTTTCAACATTTGAGATGAGAGAACATTTTTACTTTTACTTTTTATAGCTTGTACTTTTCCTAGAGCCTTCCATTTGTAAATCTTACATTGTGAAAATGACAAAGAAGCTGCTACTACAAGTTAATGATTTAGTGAGTAGTAGTTGGTGACACTTCAGTTTCCTCAGGCATGGCAAATCCTTAACCCTCAGAGTAGCAACAAAAAGGAACAAAAAATAGGAGGTGAGATGGTAATGGCTATTCAAGGTCTACCCAAAACTTTGCTTCTCAAAATAATGATGATAGGAATACTTAATATACAAATAAAAACTTTCCAACATTCTACATACAGTATAAATAAAATTTTACGTATGCAAATAGGTTTCACCATTTTAAAGACGTGGATTACTTATATGCTGCTTTTAGATGAAATGAAAACTCAACTCTGATGTGCATCCTACTCTAATATTAAATTTGCTAATTTCATCCTCATAGCCTATAATATCAATATCATAAATTTCAATGCATTTACCAGTAGAGAGAGACTTAAGAATAATTGGTTCATTGTTTTTTCTTAACTGATTGTGACTTCAGAATGAAAATCAACAGACTGAGCCAAGAATTGTCAAAAATATCACTACGGTCCATTTGTAACCATGTACAGTATTTAGTTGCTTGGGTATTTCCTTTAGAACACTTCTACTTTGACAAACTGACATACAGTTTCTGAAAACTTTTTAGGATCAGAACTTGTAGCCCTTGCCTCCTCCCTTTCCTCCTCCTCCTCCTTTTTTTCTTTTTTGAGGCAGAATCATCTCACTATGCAGTTCAGGCTGGTCTTGAACTCACTATGTAGCCCAGTCTGGCCTTGAACTGACAGCAATCCTACTGCCTTAGCCTCTTGAGTGCTGGGATTATAGTCAAGTGCCACACATCCAGCTAGCCCTTGCCTTCTTATGTTGGCAATGACAGGTTCATTGCTACATTGACAATCCATCCTCTTTTCTTTATTATATATTGAATGAAAGATGGCTGCTAAGCTACAAACTATGCGTATTTCTTTCTGCACTGATAAATTTCAGAGACTTAGAAAATGTGATGTGGTCCTTTCTACATTTTCAAAATTAACGGCTGGTTTTCCAGACACGGTAAATGTGTATAATACCTCAAGATATTTCTACTGCATCATGTGTGTTGCTCATTTTACAGGTTTCACATCCTTTTATATGTTATTTCATATTAACATTCACTTTACCACAGCTCTACCAGATAAATAGGGCAGACATCACTCAAAGGATTTATAGATGATATTTTATTTTATTTTTGAGACAGGGTCTTACTATGTCTTCAAGGATGGCCTTAAACTTACTATATGTAGCCCAGGCTGGCCTCAAACTCATGGTGATCCTCCTGCCTCAGCCTCCTGAGTGCTGGGATTACAGGCATGTGCCACCACACCACACCAACTTATAATGAGTATTTCAGTAGATTTCTTAAAGTCACAAAGCTAGGATTTAGTGGAGCCAAGATCAGAATCTAGGTTTCACATTTATGCCAGGAAATTCTACCTTTGTGTGTATGTGCGGGGAGGGCAGTATCCTGGGGACTGAACCCAGGGAAGGCCTTGGACATGCTAGGCACTCATTCTAGGGGTAAGCTACATCCTCAGCCCTTTTTATTTTGCCTTGAGACAGGGTCTCACTAGTTCCCCAGGCTGGCCTCAAACTTATGATCCTCTTACCTCAGACTCCTAACTGGCTAGGATTACAGGTGTGGGCTAGCATGTCTGGCTGAAACCCTAATATAACCCTAAAGAATTAGTGCTCTTCGCCAAGGGCATTGCAATATGATCACAATATAAAAATGATATACTTTGCTGTTTATGCTCTTGTGGCACCAAGCGGCATTTTCTCATTTTCATCACTGTAGCTTTTTGATAGGAGACCTCATTGCTCTTCTTTCAACTGATTTCTATAATAATTAATCTCATTTTCCATCAAGGAGTTTACAACCTGACCTAAATATTATAATTAATACATAATTAACACGTGACCTTATTTTTTTCCCTTTTTCAGTGTGGATACTCATAAAAGTGATTTAATGTTTCTTTCGAAACAGCAAGTTTTGCTTTTTATGGTTTCTAGGACTGCATTTACAGTTGTAATTTCAAGAGTGGGGCATCTGAAAGGTCTCCTAGCAAAGGATACTGATCATGGAAATGGCAAGACTGGGAGAGTTTTGGATTTGTCTGAAGAAGGTGGCACCTTTTGCAGCAGAACCCAATGCTTGGCTTCTACTCCGGCATGATGCTCTTATCTGGTCATGAAATAGTTTTAGTATGCAGGGTGATGTTAGGAGTAGGAAAATTATTTTTGCATTGATTTTTAGGTTTCTTAAGACATGCCCCTTTTTCTGATCTCTGCATTATGATCTTCCCCATATACAAATATATCTTGGCATCTTCTTACTAAATATTAGTCTGTTAGAGGTGCATGACAGAGTATCTGTTCAAATAGTATGTGCCCATTTTTTAGAGCTTTGGGGAAAACTTTAAAAATTGCTTTTTTTCCACAGTGGTTTTGAGGTTTTAAGTCTATTGGGTATCAGATAGTGAATCATATATTTTCTACTTTTTAAATTACAGATATGGTAATGTAAATTGATTTTTCTTCAGTATCCACATGCTCACCGATTTGAGTATATCTCTCTCACACTCCCATTTAACACGTAGGCTTAAGAAAGGAGAAACAAAGTCAACATTCAGGGGAAAAAAGTTAATTTTAATTGATGCAAGTCCACAGAATCCAGTAATGTTTGGAAAGCCTTGGAACATGGTAATGTTCTTAAGAAAACCTAACATTTTTACTATATAAAATTTAAGCCCATTACATATTAGCTTGCTATGTCTTTGCAAACTGTAGATGAAAATGTGTCAGATATTAGTCCTCTAAGAACCTTGGGAACTTTCACCTGAAAGTATCATCTGACTCTTCCTTTGTCCCCATAGGTGGCCATGTTTGTGCTACAACTGGGCAGTGCCACGTTCCTGCTTACAGAGCCTGTGATCAGCGCAATGACAACTGGGGCTGCCACCCATGTGGTGACTTCGCAAGTCAAATATCTCTTGGGAATAAAAATACCATATATATCTGGACCTCTTGGATTTTTTTACGTGAGTTTTCCAAATGTCTTTGTTCTTAGATTTTGAGTGTATTTTTCACAGAGTAGAATTTAATTATAATACTGAAGTTTTTCTGTATTACAATAACTTGGGTTTACATAAAATCATCCAGGTATTTTAAATATGATGTAGAGTGTGAAATGAGTTTAAGGAGTAATATCTGTTAATTTTTGAAACAATCTTCATGATAACTTACTGTTCTGATTCCTGTTATTGAGTTGGTTTCTGTTGTTTATTATATATGGCTTTCTGAGAATTCTCTTCATTTGTATATTATTGTCTGCATCACTGATTATTTTGTTAGGATGAAGTCCTAGTAGTTGAGATACCAGATCCAATGGGTATAATATTTTTTCCAAATTTCAATGCAAAAATTGTACGCGTAATATTTTACTCTAGCCTTAACATTGTCAACTTTAGTTACTACTATTTTTTAAAAATTGCATGTTTGATATGTGAAAAACTGGTATCCACTATTCAAGCAAGTGTTTCTCTGATTAGGGGGTTAAATAGTTAATAAAAATAGTAATTGGCTGTATGGAACTGGAAACTGGCTCTGAATATTGCTCCTTAGGTAATATCCGGCTCGGTGATTCATTCATTGTAAGAAAGCTTAAAACCCAAACAAGAAAACTGGAACTGGGCCTGGAAGCAACCTAATCCCAAGCTTCTGCTCAAACAAAAGCAGAACAGAGTAGCTGTAAGCTGTCAGATGACAGGCTGAGAGTTAAGACTTTCAGTGACACCAGGGCTACAGCACAGAACAAAATTGGTTAAAATTGTGCCTTAATCTCCTGCCTGGAACAGTGTGTTTATCTGTGCATGTACAGAATAGAAAATGCCTGAGGGTTACGATTTGACCTCTTTAGTCATACACAGATAATCACCTTTCTCTTGTGAGTTGTATTAATGAAGCAGGACAGCCTGATGTGGGAATGACATTGGTTTTTCAGCTTGGCTTTGTCAGGGCGCTTTGCATAAACAATATACTAAAGAGTTTTATGTAGAAACTTTCTTCCATTTTATTTTCTTGTGAGATAAACTTCAAGCTGCTTTATCTTGATTTTCTAGGTCAAGCAGTATAGGACTTTAGAGGTCTGTTGTAAGATAGCACACTGAAACAGAATCAGATTTAGGAATAATTCTGGACAACTAACTCCACATACACAAGACCTAGTTAGTGGAATTACTATGATTGGAAATGAATTAAAGTTGCTCTTGCCTTTCAACATCACAGAGACCTGCCCTATTAGGAATGATGCTTTGTTCTTTGCCAGGATATTGATGGATGCTGATACTGCAGTGTTGGAAATACTGATTATGTGAGCATAGTTTCCACTCAGTTATTTCAAAAATGAGCTTTGGAATAGTTCAGGTGAGAAAATCTGGTGATGATAATGTAGATTTGAAATTGCTTTTGGGTCACTAGGTGCCTGAAAGAGAATAACGAAACTCAGCATGAAGATACAGGGCAAAGGACATCACAGAGGTCTTGGCCATCGAGTTAAAGAATCTAGAGCAAAATGAATTAATATGTTTATGAGAATTTTTGCTTTTTGACTCTAATTCTTACTTCTGTGTTTTCACATCTATTATAATCTTTTTGACAGCTCTTCAGGCTGATGAAAGATAAAGAATGTATTACTGATATCCCTTGGAACATAAATTGATATCTAGAATCAAAAAGACTCTTGTTGTGTGTGCTAGTCAGCTTTCTGTTGTCATAAATGCCTGCAATGATCAACATGTAAAGAGAAGAGATTTCTTTTGGCTTCCAGTTTGAGAGATTAGTTGGGCCTTTTGCCAAAGACTCTTGCCCAGTGAGCCAGTCACAATCTTAATAGTGTCAGGTGGGTTGCATTTTTATCCAAAGAATTCAAATTTTTTTTTTTTTTTTGGTACTGGGGATCGAACTCGGGTCCTTGCACTTGTACAGCAGGCGGCAAAACCACTGAGCCAAATCCCCGGCCCCAAAGAATTCAAATTTGACAGACCAATATGTTCAGTAATCAGTTCTGGCAATGGCAATCCTTACTGTCAGCGCTGAGAAAAACAACCCTTTTGCCTTTATTCTGCTTTTGGCAGGGATCTGCATTTGGGGCTCTGTCCCTTCTGCTACTATGATGTCTACAACAGCATCTTCTACATGGACCATGCCTGGTTCTATGCTATGAAGAAAATTCAGTTCCCTAGTTTGAATAGGTGAAGTCTTCATCCATGATAGTAGGTGGGCTAGTAGGTGTACTAACCTCAGTGGAACACCTTCAGGGAACGATTTAAATCGGATACAGGGAGTGGCATCGTGTCAGCTCTGCTCTATGGGGACATAGACCTGTCACAGTTTGATCTTGAATGTCCCTCAAAGGCCTATGGGTTAAATGTTCAGTCTCCAACCATGGTGCTGTTAAGAGGAGGTGGAGCCTTTAGAGGTGGTACCTAGTGGTAGGTCTTCTGGTCATTTGGGGTGCAAATTTGAAAAGGATGAGAGAATGCTAGTCTTCTCTTCGTGGTTTTTTGCTTTCTGCCCATGAGGTATGGAAGCAACTTTGTTCTGCTGCCTGCCCTGAGGTGCTGCCTTACCACAGGCCCGTAAGTAAAAGGGCCGACTGACTTAGACAGACCTCTCAAACTGTAAGCTGAAAGAAATCTCTTCTCTTTATAAGTTGGTCATCTCAGGCATTTATTACAACACAGAGCTGACTGGCACAAGCATACACAACAAACTCCACTAAGCTTTCCTAGTTAGGTCACTTCTTTTCTTCTCGCTGAAAGTTGTTGACCAGTTTCTTCAGATGCAGGGAAACCCTGCTAAGATTTTCCCCTGGTACTGAGTGCCCACACGGGATTTTAATGGTCCACATAATCAAAGGAAGCCTCTGGAGTAACTGTCATGATTCTTCTAAATCCCTAAAAAGAGTGGGTGTAATAAGATTTAATTTAACCACTTATTTAACTTTCCTTACTTCTTTCACACAATACTGTACTTTTCCCTTTGTTCTTCAAAGGTTTTTTTGTAAATTCATATACTTCCAATAAAACTTTCTTTTAAACTTATGGTTATTTTGGGCCGGGGATTTAACTCAGTGGTGCTGCTGCCTGCCTCGCAAGTGCAAGGTCCTGAGTTCAATCCCTGGTACCAAAAAAAAAAAAAAAATACAGCTAAACTTATGGTTATTTTTACTGAATTTGAAAAGTTTTTCAATACATTTTTCTTCAGTTTTATTTTGGGTAAAATGTAACTTTTTCTCTGAGTTAAGTTTTAGCTGTGGAGATTTTATTAGCATCTGTACAGTTGGACACTAATTGATCAGTCTTTTTTTTTTTTCTGAGAAAGGAGTAATAGAGCAAAAAACATTAGAATCAGAGAAGTCCAGATTTAAATCATAGCTCCAGCCATAATCTGAGCAAATGACCTAGTGTTTTTAATTTCCAGTTGCCTGTTTTGTAAATTGATGATAATTACACTTGATGGAGTCCAGTTCAAAACAAAATGCCTGGAACATAGGTGTTCATTAAAAGGAAGCCATTATTTTTCTTCTTAGTAATGAATAGCTGGACAAAACAAATTATGGATTTTTTAAAAAAGTACTTCTTAAATAATAAATACCATATTTTCCCTCTATTGAGGACTCTTAATCAGGTGAAAAATTAAATAGTAAAATAGGGTAATATATGTCTTTGCACCTTGAAAATCAAGGTGACCTGAGAATTTATAAATTAAATATTTCTACTCTGAATGAAGGAGTTGAAATGATTATCAGAACTGAAGAAGTGGTGTTCTTGATTTTTATTTATAAATGTTTCCATCAATTCAGCACAAAATCCCCTGAGCAGTTATAATCCTATTTAATAAATTACAAATAATGCTGGCCATAATATGTTTAAAAATAAGCAGGAACACTAATGCCACCAGGGTAACTCTGTCTCGGGATCCTGACTCAACAGTTAAATTGTTCCATTCTTGTCATCCTTCAAATTCAGATAATTGATTGATAACTAGATTCCTCATATAAATAAGAGTGAAACTTCTAATTCTTTAGAATAGAAGAACATTTTTAAATTGAGAAATGATGAAGTATCTTTTTGTTAGAAAAGATGTTTTCCCCAGAAGGGATAATACAGTTTTAAAAATTCCTATTTCATATTAGCACATATGGATTTCTTTGAGATGGCGCCTGTAGCAGCCCATGATAAACTTGGCAAAGCTAGTTTCACTGGCATGGTTTATAAGAATGCTGTTCTAATAATTATGCACAGTTCTGTGCATTAAATCCAAGAGCAAAAGGCAAGTTTGCCAATATATTCAACCATTTTTCTTGGAAGTTTTTATTTCTTTGCCTTAAAATGGGGACTTTCAGACTAGGAAACAGTTTCATTTCCACCCATAACACTGAAGTACAAGCAAAGTGCTTTTCTAGTTTGGACTGCAAAACGTGTGAAGCAGAAACAAAGAATGTTAATAAAGTGGGATTGAAACGTCAGAAGGAAATCAGAGATGATGAAACATTTTCTTTTATAGAGAATGAGATCACAATCAAATATGTACAAATGAAGTTTATATGTGTAGAACAAATCTTCTTTGAAGACATAGGCCCTCTGGGATCAAGAACACACGTTGATAGTTTATGAAAGCCCACATTTTCTCTGCAGATATTGTGACTTTTCCATTGTGACTTGCAGGGCTGTTTGATATACCTTAAAAAATGGACAAATTAAGTCAAAAGGGAGAGAAATGGAATGTTCAACTACAGATTGATTCAATCAGTGATGCAGGGAATAGAAAATGTAGCAGATTTAATTTGAATATGGAACAATTATATGAAAATTTTTAACAAAGGTTACTTTCAAATTCTAAATCAGACAGCAAATATTTTTTGCAACTCAACCAACTTGGGCTAAGTTCTTTCCATCCCCCACAATTCACTGAAAAATGCATCACCGCAAAACCCAGTGCTCAAGTAATTCAAATTAAACTTATTTTTCTAAACAAG